TAAGAAAATCTTAAATTTTGAACAAGATTTTTGTGTAGATCATAACTTGTTGGTGATCAAAAATCAAAATAAATGTTTGAAATTAATTTTTTATTTTCCACACTATTTAAGTTATGTATTTATTACATGATATTTCTTGTATACATGCTATTGTTTATTATTTACATTTGTTTTTATCTCGATTTCGTATATTGTAACACCCGAATTTTCTACTCATACAATGTTGATTATTATTTATTTTCATATATTTATTTTAGTTAATTAAAAGGGGTTTTTATAAAATATTGTAAGGGTTTTTAATAATTTCAATTATTTGTGAAAAAATTTGTAAAATTCTATTTTTTTTACGCCGGAACGGGCTGTTCTAAAATTGGAACGGGCCGTTCCAAACGAAGAAAATACGTTGTTTTTGAAGAAGTAGAATGGGTCGTTCCAAAACTGGAACGGGCCGTTCCAAATTTGTAAAAGGCACATTTTTGGGTTTCCTAGAACAGGCCGTTCCCAAAGGGAAATGGGTCGTTCCGGATTTCTTAAAACGCCTAAAAAGTTAAGTTAGAAACGGGCCGTTCTGTTTATGGTCAATCAGTGGTAACACGAACCTCAGAACGGGCCGTTCTAATTTTAGAACGGGCTGTTCTGCTTTTTGGAAACGGGCCGTTCCGATTTTGGAACGGTCCATTCCAGTTTAAAATTTTATGTATATTTGAAGGCTCCGGAACGGGCCGTTTCGAATTCAGTACGGGCCGTTACGGGTGCGCCAGGATGCCTATAAATAGGGGCGGGGGTGAAAATTTTATAACTGAGTAAGAAGTGAAAATTTTAGAGAGAGAAAGAGAAGGAGAGAGAGAGAGAGAGAGAGAGAGAGAGAGAGAGAGAGAGAAAGAGAGAAAGAGAAAGAATGAGAGAGAAAGAAAGGGAAAGAAAGAGGGAATCCAGAGCAGGAGACCCTGTCCAAGTTTTAACTCCTGCTTATCCAGGTAAGGGGGGAGTGAGAAACCTCGCTCGGGGGTGTGGGGATAATTGTTGGATAGTTTGATTGTCTGATTGGCCCCCAATCCCTTACTTGTTGTTCTGTTTTACTTTCTGTTTGCTCTACTTTGTTCTTTGTTAGAAGTAATAAATGAATAAGGAATTAATATTAAAAATAAATGAGTTTTTATATGAATAAGAATGCTTTCTGTGGATCTCTGTAAATTCCTGTGCGGACCTTATGAGGAGTATTTATGACATGACCTTGTGAAATATGGACAAATGACATGAGACCTAAGAATAGACTTTTGAGACAAGCTGTGATTATGAGACTATGAAAAATAATGACATGATGTACTTAATGAAATTCTGTAATAAGTTAAATGTTGAGTCAATGAAATAATGAATGTATGACATGCATCATATGCATATATTATTCCAGATGTGCCGCTAAGGCCGCATACCAGTGATGTAACATGCTAACAAGGTGTACCTTAGGGTCACCAGTGATGTAATATGCTAACAAGGTGTACCTTAGGGTCACCAGTAATGTAACTTGCTAACAAGGTGTACCTTAGGGTCACCAGTGATGTAACCAGGTGTACCTTAGGGTCACCAGTGATGATATGTGAAGCTTCCTTATGGCGCCACATGCATGCATTTATGAGTGTAGTCCATGATATCATTGCATGATAAATAAGTGTATGTGTTGTTTTTATTTATTTTTTAAATTAGAATGGCAATAACAAATTCGAATACAATTCTACAACAAACTGACTCTAGTGATTTCAGTTTAATCTATTTGATTATTAAAACTCCTTTTTAACACGTATGCTCATATTTTTCAAAATATATTCTATGTAATTAGTTTATAATTAAAAAATTAATTTGTGCATAATTATAATATATGAAAATAAGCATTGGAGTGTTACATGTAACGATGTGTATATATGCTTTGCTAAAGAAATTCCCAAGAAAAAAGACAAAAGAAAAAGGCAAAATAAAATTCTCTCTGTCTCTCTATCTCTCTACGTTCATGTTCAAAGCAAAAAACATCCTTGACTTGTCGATTTCAGTCATTTCTTATAAATATTGCAAAGAATTGATACTTGTTAAAAGAATAGTGGTTACATCCGTTAGAAATATTCATACATGTTGGTAGTTAGTTATCACCTTATATATATTAAATCGTATCTTATTCTAATCTGAAAAAAAAAAAAAATACTGTTATGCTCTACATTTTTGCAACTTTTTTTATTTTCGAACTATCTATCATTAATATATATATATATTTATGAGGAGTATTTATGACATGACCTTGTGAAATATGGACAAATGACATGAGACCTAAGAATAGACTTTTGAGACAAGCTGTGATTATGAGACTATGAAAAATAATGACATGATGTACTTAATGAAATTCTGTAATAAGTTAAATGTTGAGTCAATGAAATAATGAATGTATGACATGCATCATATGCATATATTATTCCAGGTGTGCCGCTGAGGCCGCATACCAGTGATGTAACATGCTAACAAGGTGTACCTTAGGGTCACCAGTGATGTAATATGCTAACAAGGTATACCTTAGGGTCACTAGTGATGTAACTTGCTAACAAGGTGTACCTTAGGGTCACTAGTGATGTAACCAGGTGTACCTTAGGGTCACCAGTGATGATATGTGAAGCTTCCTTATGGCGCCACATGCATGCATTTATGAGTGTAGTCCATGATATCATTGCATGATAAATAAGTGTATGTGTTGTTGATTATTTATGTGTATTGTTTACATGTGACTTATATTTGTTGTGCGTGTGTGTGGTATCTAACCTTTATTTCTGCACCTGAAACTGAGTGAGATGTTTCTCACTCCCTTGTTGTTTTTGTATGTTTAAATTATGTTGCAGGTGATCATGATGTTGGTGATGAGGCTTAAGGCTTCAGTTGGACATGCTCTGATAGGATGTGACATCGGGGCTTAGCTAGCTTAGTCTAATATGTTATTGTTTTTAATAACTTTAGCTTGTTTTCTTTTGTAATTTCTAGCAAAGAAATAACGTAAATAAAGTTTGTAATCTTTCTTTTGTAATTTTGAACGTCCTTGATAAAAAATCAAAATGTACATCTTTGTCATATTATTTTTATTACATGATTTGAAAAGTTATAAATCAATTCCTAACTAGGAGGCACTGCCACCTTTGCTGGAATTAATTTATATTTTTCTTTATATGATTTTTTGAGTTTTGATACTTATATGTTGACTTTTTATGATTTATGAGTTACGAATGTGAATCTTCTACCTTATAATATTGAGACAATTATTTTATCCATGAAAAAGGTTATCAACTATGAAAGACTTGATTTACTCAAAAAGGAAAAAAAAATTATTGTTTACATTTATTGTGTTTTAATGTTGGGGTAGAGGGTGTCACATACATTCTTGCCAACTTTCTTGATTGATCTTAATGATATGTTTGGTGAAATGGAAAGAAATAAGATGAATGGAGACACGGAATAGATAAATAAGAAATGAAAATAAATGAGAAATATGATAGAATTTTACAAGGTTTATAAGGTGAGAATTGTCTCATTTCTACTCCCACTTATAATCATTAATACGATCATATTACTAGTTGATATAGGATGTCTAAAACATCCCTTTTATGCAAAAATTTAGATAGCTTGAACATGGTGTTTATAAAACCAAATATCAACATGTGATTTGATAATGGCTCAATAATGGATGACCTGATAAATTCAACAACCATAATTATTAAAATAGATTTAAATAATATCTTAAAAAATTAATTAAGATTTAATTTAATTCTATAAAATCAATTTTTAATTTTTTTTTCACAAATATATATTATTAAAATTTTATTTTTAATTAATATTAAATTTCTAACATTTATTAAAAAGTGATATATTTACGATTGTAACATCAAATTATGTGATTGCGATGATTCATGTCGGCGGAAGACAATAGTTTAGTAAGATTTACGATGATAGCAATAGCAGTAGTAATTTCTAAGTTGAGCGACAACATTGGACTCCCCCACTTTGCGCTACACGTGTCTCCCTCGTATACGATTTGAAGCTTTATAGAATTCCGCACACGCCCCTATCATGCTTCACTTTTCTCCATTTCCTTTTCATCACCATAATCAACGGCTACTGTTGCTCCTCACTTTTTCTCTGGCCCCACCACACCTTTTCCTCTTCACAACGACACACTATTCTATCATGTCAAAACATCACTTATCGACACTCTCTTTTCATTTTCATTTTATAATATTAATAAAAACATTACATTATTTCTTTAATTATTTATTATAGAGTCATAAAATATAAATATCAAATATATTAATTTTATAAAATTTAAAATATCGATAGCATTTATTATTTTTTATATCAAAACTTTAATCATTAAATAAAATACAACTAAAGGAGTAACTTATAAAATAATTAATAAATTTAATTACGACTCATTTAAAAATTACACTGAAATTATAGTCACATGCTATTTTATCAATATGATCTGGATAATATTATTGTCTTATTATTGCTTTATTAGACTATAGTATTTTCTTCCAAATAATTCTTTATATTTATATATATATATAGGTACAATACCACCTTGTATTTTTATTACTTTTATATATACCTAGTATATTTTTAAGAAATATTGAAATTAAATAAAATTATTCTGACTTGCGACTAGGAAAATTTGGTATTAATATTATTGTTAAAAAATTATTCTAATTAAAAATCAATAAAATTTAATCACAATTATTTTTATATGTAATTAATGTTATTTTTTAATTAAGAAAATTTATCTTGATAATATATGTTTTTATTTAATGCCGATCTCATTAGTTCTACATATTAATAACACTTAAAAAATTATATCTAATTTTTTTTAAAAAAATTAAAATTAAAATTGAACATCAATTTTAAAAAATAAAAAACCTAATAATTCTGTAGAATAATTAAAGAACAAAGTGGTTCAAGTTCAACCCTGTTAATATATGCTTCATCATGACCTCTTGGCGCTCTCTTTTCTTCTCTCTCTTATTTTTCTCCCTAACTCCTCTTTTGCTTTCTCTTGGAACTAGTGTTCTGGTGGGTCTCCAACAAGGTAAGCAACCTTGTCTCTCTTCTGGGTCAAAATCCTTTTTTTTTTTTTTTTTTTTTTTTTTTTTTTTTTTTCTTCTGCCTTTTGCTGATGCTATCACCTTCACCATTGCTAAGAGTTTTCATTTTTTTTTTCATCCTTTTTCGTTTCTGTCTTTATGTCTTTGATTTTCTTCCACTTAGCGAGCTTCATGTTTGAAACGCAGCCTCTTGGTGTCGTCTAACGTGTGGTGACTAGTGACTAGTTTTCATTTTTATTTGCCTTGTTTAATGGTTTTGGTGAAGTATATCTGTTTCTCCATTTTGTTTTACTTTCCTCGTTGTTTTGTGCACAGACTGAGGCATTTGAAAGTCAAGACACGTGTTCAGAGGGTTTGGTTTAATGGTTTGTGTTTTGATGCTTCTGTTTTGGTTTTTGAAGGACTTTCATTCCAAAGGAGAGAGATGAGAAGAAGGGTTGTTTGTTGAAGTTTTTAGGACTAAAGTTTGAGTTTTTATGCAAAGTTTGATGATAATGGATCCACGTTTTTGTGGGTTTAATGGTTCCCATAATGAAATCCGGTTGGGGAATCAGTCTTTGCCGATTCTGCAGAATCAGAGATTTGAAAACGGTTTTTTTGACCAATCTAGGGAATTTGGTTACCTTCAATCCAATCTAGTACCAGCCAACAACATACCTTCATCCTCGGTTTTGACTCATGAGGAAGAACCTTCCCCGGAGGATTGTGAGTTTTCTGATGCTATTTTGAGTTACATCAGTCAGATCCTTATGGAAGAAGACATGGAGGATAAGACATGCATGTTGAAAGATTCTTTGGATCTTCAAATTGCTGAGAAATCGTTCTATGAGGTCATAGGTGAAAAGTACCCTTCTTCTTCTTTAGGAAATCCAAGTCCTGTTGATCCATATGATGGGGGTGGGGATAATACTCTCTCTGATAATTATGTTTCTTGTTCTTATAATGATGGTGATCTTAGTAGCATTTTTACTAACAATTCTTTGCGCCGAAACTTGGGGGAACCTCCTAACCTAAATTTTCAAGGCAATAATAGCATTTCAAAGTTATCTTATAGTTCTTCAAACAGTGTGATAAGTAGTGTGGAAGGGCCTGTGGAATCTCCAAGCAGTATTCTCCAGGCTCCTGATCTGAACAGTGAGAATCAATCCATTTTGCAATTTCAGAAGGGTGTTGAGGAGGCTAGCAAGTTTCTTCCAAGTGGAAATGCGCTCTTTGCTAATTTGGATGTGGCTAATTTTTCAACACTAGAAGAGGATAAAATGGGGAGTGATGAATTGTCTGTCAAGGTGGAGAAGAATGAGGGTGAGCCTTTCCTTGTTGGAGCCAAAGGAAGGAAACATCACCACAGGGAAGAGGGGGATGTTGAAGAAAATAGAAGCAGCAAGCAAGCCGCGATTTTCTCCGAACCTACATTGCGAACAACAATGACTGATATAATCCTGCTTTATAGTTTAGGGGATGGCAAGAAGCATTACATAGCCCGTCGTGAGGCTTTGCAAATTAAGAATGACAAGATAGTGCTGTCAAATGGTAAATCAAAGGCTTCCAATAGTGGCAAGGGACGTGGTAAGAAACACAATGGGAAAAAGGAAGTGGTTGATTTGAGAACACTTTTGGTCCTTTGTGCACAAACTGTTGCTGCAGATGACTATAAAGGGGCACATGAGTTGCTGAAGCGGATCAGACAGCACTCAAACCTTTTTGGGGATGGAAATCAGAGGTTGGCTCATATCTTCGCAGATGGCCTTGAAGCACGATTGGCTGGTACTGGAAGCCAGATTTACAAAGGACTTGTGAGTAAAAGAACATCAGCTGCGGATTTTCTGAAGGCCTTTCATCTATATCTTGCTGCTTGCCCTTTTAGGAAGATGGCTAGTTTTATCTCTAATGTTACAATAAGGAAATCTTCAGAAAATTCAGCTAGGCTCCATGTTATTGATTTTGGTATCCTTTATGGTTTCCAGTGGCCAACTTTGATTCAGAGACTTTCTGCAACATTTGGAGGTAAACTTCGGATTACAGGAATAGACTTCCCACAACCTGGTTTCAGGCCTGCTGAGAGAATTATTGAAACTGGACGCCGGCTAGCAGCATATGCTGAATCTTTTAAGGTTCCATTTGAGTACAATGCAATAGCAAAAAAATGGGAAACAATTCAACTTGAGGAACTCAAGATTGATAGGGATGAGTACCTTGTTGTTACCTGTTTTTATCGTGGTAAAAATGTGCTGGATGAATCTGTGGTTGTGGACAGTCCAAGGAATAAATTCCTGAGTTTGGTAAGGAAGATCAACCCAGATTTATTCATTCATGGCATTACTAACGGGGCCTTTAATGCACCTTTCTTTGTTACTCGATTTCGGGAGGCACTGTTTCACTACTCTTCACTTTTTGACATGCTTGAAACCATTGTGCCTCGCGAGGACTGGGAGAGGATGCTAATTGAGAAAGAGATATTTGGGAGGGAAGCATTGAATGTCATAGCTTGTGAAGGCTGTGAGAGAGTAGAGAGGCCAGAGACATATAGGCAGTGGCAAGCCCGGATTCTAAGGGCTGGATTTTTGCAACAATCTTTTGAGCGTGAGTTAGTAAAGAGGGCAATAGAGAAAGTAAGGACTAGCTACCACAAAGATTTTGTAATTGATGAAGATAGTCAATGGTTGTTGCAAGGTTGGAAGGGGCGAATTGTTTACGCCCTTTCTTGTTGGAAACCTGCATGACAACCAAGAAGGTACAAGTGCATCTCACTAGGGCTTTGTGAATTGATTTCACTTCTGAGGAGCTCAGGTACTTCAATTACCCCTTTTCTCAGTTCTTTTCAACAATGCTGGTTTTTGTCATTGTTGTTTGAGTTTGACACATCTTGAACTAACATGAATCTGATAGTTGACCAGGGTGTGCCCAATATGTAGGGTTCAAGATTAAAAGTAAGGGTTGAAGCTGTGAGTTCAGTTGGGGAAAACTTGGTTACTGAATGGCCTGGTATGAAAGTAGATAATGCATGTTATTCTCCCATAAGATCATTTAGGAAGTCTGTTTTGTGATAGCTAATTTGAGAGTTGTCAAATGAACATGATCCAATATAATGTTGCAGACTGCAGATGAATTTAGCATGTAATAAGACCAAACCTTTATTGCTGTTACTCATTTTGACCTTTCTATTTCAGTACATTTTACTTAACTGAAGATGATAGTTTGCGTATTTCCTCCTAACAATTGATGGAATATTTATTTTGGAGAAATACTTGTTGCACACCAGATGGCGTGTTGCTATTCAAACTGTACCAAAAGCAAAAGTTTGGTTAGGTCCATGTAGCTTAAATGCTGTAATTGGTGCAAGTGTGGACGTGCTGTGCAAATAGAAGTTCTCTTCACATTTGCTTTTGAAGACTTGTTTCAACATTTGACCCATGATGGGTGGTGGGGACCTCCTCTATTTGGAATTTTGAACACTGTTGTTGATACATATATTTCCTTGTTGAATTATTACCGGGGAGAATCATTTTCTCAATGTATGATTTAATTTGACGTGCTAAATATGGTGTGCGTTTAGTACTTGTTTGGTCCTGCAACCAAATCTATAGTTGGTCACCATTCATCATTTGACCTTCCCTTTAGTGGATAGATGATGAAAGTTGTTCTTTGGTACAGCGGAAGCACTATAATTTTTAATTTGGACATGCTATTGAAACCCTTCATCACTAGCTCATTGCATGTAACTTATAGCTATTGAAAGTGGATCAAAATTCAAAAGTAATTCTGTGTATGCATTTATGGGCTTAATTTTGATTCATTGTCCCTGTTAAACTGTCTACAGTATAGTGCAAATCTTGTGTTGTCGTGTATGAATAAAAAATTTCTAATGTTGTCGTTTCATTAAGTGTTTGAATGCTATAAATTAATGTAAAACGTTTTTCTTAAATAATGATAGTGGACTAAGGTAAGTCAATTGTTTATGCATGTATATCCTAATGGTATAGAACACTATATATAGTGGTGGACCTCATGTGGGGGACCCACCTGTCTCGAATTCTTCTTTTAAAGATTCACACTAAAAATTGAACCTTTTTAATGTGGAAAGGTTCATATGGGTTTTACTAGGTGGCAGGACTGCATCACAAGAATCAAAACTGTATTCATAATTCATACATCACATTTTCATTAGGAGTTCACATGACGAGTTGGTGTGCATGAAGGTTCACACACATTTCTATTTTGGAATGATATTCGCTTTAAATCTAAAAATTTATGAATTTGTTTTTTCCCATCACCCAAAAAATTTCATGGGTGCTATATACGTTACAAGTCCACAAGCATCACATTGGTTGATCAATCAATGTTGTGCACCCAGGGATGGATCCAAGGGGGGCAAGCACCCACCTCTCTCTTTCTTGACTTCTTAATAAATATTATAATAAATTTATTTATGTTAAATATATGATTATATTAAGAAATTTATTAGAAAATGGCATTTTATATTGTTTATGATTTTGTGATTTAAAATAATAATATTCATAATTTAGATAAATAATGTGAGGCTTTTAACGACTATAATTTAATATTTATTTTAACCTATCACTAAAGAAAATCCTAGTACCCTTTTGATTGAGTTTTGAATTAGTTTTCATGTGTATCAAATGTTTAGATATATTTCTATGTTAATATAATATTATCCACTTTTGACTTAAACTTTCGTAAATATGTTTTTGGTCATCATCTAAATGACCTTATACCATTTTACTATGTTAGATATGTTATAAATCTGATAACTTTCACTTGATTTATCTTCGGATCACATCCTATTGAGAGAAAGATGAAATAAACATGTCTACACATTAGCATGATATTATCTACTTTGGGTATAAATCTTCATAAATTTATTTTTGGTCATTATTCAAAATATTTTATACTAATGCAAACATTTATATGCTTATAAATTCATTTATCTCCTATTGTTCTCATTCTAATTATGCGAGACTTTATACATCCAATATTCATTATCATCAATTATAAAGTCTTAACTTATTTCAACGTGCTAAGATTATTTTGATCATTATAAAAATCAATAATTTCATCATACATGATAATTTATGATTCAATTAAAGTGTAAAACATCTCTATATCGTGAGTATATTTAAACAAAACTCATTTTCTTAAATCAGTTCATTTTACTATAATTTTGTTTATAATATTTTTATTAAAATGTAAAACAAACATATCCTAAAAATTTATTTTATACAACACAATGCTCTTGCAGTATTAGCTGTTGATATTCTTGAACTTATTATTCCCCTTTTACATTTAAAAAAAAAATCACTTTCACGTGGATAAACTGATTGATGCACGCACGCATAAATGAAAACAAGAAGATTGATGAAGTCAACACAACGTGCTTGGAAATTGAAAACAAGGAAATTATTTTGGTGAGAAAGGTGAGATCATGTTTGATCCATTATGGTGGAAAATGACTTTTCCTGGCAAAACTAGGTAGATGACAAATAAAGCATCAATCAATAATTTCGTACGTTTTAATTACTTGATTGCAATTTCGTATATCAAAGACACTACTCCATTCCTGTATTCCGTGTCGCCCTCTCTTTTGTAGTTAGGGCATCTCCAATAACTCGTTTGAGTTATTAAAAAAACGAAAAAAGTGATTTTTAGTGTGCATGTCAATATTAAGCAACTCAAACAGAAATTTACTCTAATAGTAAGAAATTTTAAAAATTTAATTTTTAAATTTTTTTTTCAAATTATTTATGAACCAAATTAAAATTTTTATTAAAAAAACAATTGCACTATAATAAAAGAAAATAAATTATGAAAAAAATACACAATAAGTAGATATTAAAAATAAAATAAAGCAATAGTAAATACATAAATATTATATGAAATTAATTTTCATCATTCTTATTTCTGAAAAGTTCCCAAATATGTTCGATAAGATCTGCTTGAAGTTGGCGGTGTATTCTTTTGTCATGAACGTATGCTCTCTTTTGAAGGTATGTTGTTCTAAAATTGGGATGAGCACCTATAAATATTTCAAATCTTGACATGTCATCATCTACACCATCATAATCAATATAATTTTGATAGGTGTATCGCTCGTCCTCGACAATCATGTTATGCAATATGATACATGCATAAATTATATTTTTCATTAATTTTTTAATTTTTTAATTATTTAATTATTTAATTTTTATTTATTTTTTTAAAACGTCTCTTTTTCTTCTTCTCTTCGTCAGAGGGTTTTTTCATTTTTCTTCGCCTTTCCTTTTCTTCCAATTCCACCTTCAAACTCCGTCTACCGCCGCCGCCCGCAAGTCCAGCCAGAACGTCCACCCGCGGCAGAACGTCCATCGGCGCGCCTATGCCGTCTACTCGCGCGCCTCTACTGTCCAACCGCGGGCCTCCGCCATCCAACCGCGCGCCTCCGCCACACCTCCTTCAATTCACAACAGTAAGCAATCGTTGCTTCACTAAGCAACCCTCTCTCCTCTGCAAGAAACTCTTGCTGCCACCTCACACCTCTCCAATGGTAAGAAACTGATGTTGGAGTTGCTTGATGAGCCAAGCAACTTCCATTGGAATTGCTCTTAGTATCTCCGATTAAGGAGGGATCTTGCAATACTTTTGTTTGGCTTTGGTTTAGATTTTAGTAAAACCAATTTTAAAAAAATAACATAAAAAATTAAAAATTTAAATATATTTTTTCTTTATAAAAATTTGAGTTTACTTTCTGCAATTTTTTCTTTTATTTTTCACCTCTTAAAATGCGTGAAGTTTGATTTTAGTCCCTATAAAAAAATTATTTAATTTTCATCTTTCCAAAAATTAAAAATCATTATATTTGATTCTTAATATTCATTTTGAGGTGGATAGCATTTATTTTAAATATCTAAATAAAATTACAGTGTCACATTAATATGGTATTAATGTAGATCGTATGAGATGATCACAAATACCACATAGCAAAAACAATTATTCACGTTTTTGAAAGATGAAAATAAAAAGAAACTTGCCGGACTAGAATAAAATCTCACTCATTTCTATAGTAACAAAACATATTTAAGTTAAAAATAAATTTAGAACTATCAATTTATTTAAACAGCAAAATAAAATCAATTTTAAATTGTATCTACAAAAGAAAAAAAAAAAGGAATGTGTTTGAATTGCCTTACTAATATTTTTCACCTAGAGGATTACTGCTTAGGCTCCCAAACCACATAATTCTACCTAATTGCAATTACTCAACTAGTCCTTAAGGGCTAGAGGATCTCTTTTGGAAGGGTTTTCCACCAAGTAGAGAAAATGGCTGAAGGATTTGAACTCCCACTCATGTCATAAGAAATGTGAAAGTTCGATCCAAAACCTTAACCATTTGTATCCATGTTAACATTTTCTATCAATATACCAACTAATTATTAACATTTGTGTATAAATAAATAAAAAAAAGAATTGTAACTTCAAATATTTTCAAAATTTGAGTATATCCACACTCAAATCAACTCCATTCACTCACCTTAAAAATTACCTAAACTTGTTATAAAGATTTGGACTAGCTGATCAAGCCAACCTGATTGAGAAACCATTAATGTAACAAGTCTGAGCTGATTGTTAGAGATAATGCTAAAATTGCGTGATCTAGTGTGTTTCGACAAGTTTTCCAGTCGAATAAGTGACTCAGCTATTAGTCAAGCCTGTTCAAATGAACTAAATTACTAGCATATTTAATGAACAAACGATGTATTGTGACTCTTGAAAATTTTAAGGTATTGTACAATTTTTTTTAATAATTTTTTAAAGTAAAAATTTAATAAATTATAAATGTTCTGAAATATTTCTCCTGTCACTCAAATTGGTGGCCACATGGGCCCAGTCTAAGAATGCATGTGCATCCCACAAGGAAATCAGCTGGCAATCATAATAGTAAGTTGATCAGTGCTGAAAACCAGTAAACATCAAGTCTCATGAAACAGACAGTTTTCCGTTTTGTCCCCATGAAAACCTTTTTTTTATTTTATTTTTTATTATCTTATGCAATTGAAAACATTCAGAAATATGCCAGGAGTTTTTTTTTATTTTTTATATTAGAGCATTTTCAATACAGAAACTCTAAAAAATCACTTTTAGAAAGAAATTGCAAAGAGTTACACTTGATAACATGAAGAGAATGAAATGATCTCAAGGCTTGTAGTACTGTACTGGTGAAGTAGGTCTATAATTTGTCTTAACCAATCCTTTACTGAATTAACAAGACACAATGTAAATTTCTTCAGATAGCATTAATAGCCATGTAATTCAACCCCAAATGTAGACAAGAAGGAATTTAAGACCATGAGAACAATCCCATTCAAAATCAAAAGCGAGTAGTGATCTGGGAAAATAAAGCCTTGAAGTCCTTGGTTGCTGAACCTGCTCCCTCAGGTTTTGATGCCAAGTCAAATGCCTTGAATTTAGCCTCCTCAAAATTTAGTGCCTGTTAAACCAATTGAATGAAAGAGCATCAAAATCTCAAGAGTTGAGAAGGAATTAAAAAATGGTGGAATATTTGAGCGTTAATAATAAAAATAAGATACCTGAATGCAGACTTCTGCAACATCAGTTCTAGTTATGGTTCTGGTATCAGTCTTGATAAACTCATCATCCTTCCCTACAATTAGTTCCCGAAGACCTCCATCTTTGTCTTGCAAGCCACCAGCCCTGACTCAGTATAGAAAGTGAGAAAAGATGGGAAAAATTTATATTAAAAAAAACACTGTTCATATTAAGGATCCTGTCCCCAGACTGTTACTCTCATTAGCACTATGAATATTGAAAACAACTTCTCTCTATATCAAAATTATAATGGAGATAAGTAACCGTGTAATTTAAATGTAATATATAAAAACCAGAACTGCTTACATGTATATTGCAAAGCATAAGAATCAAATTTTAAGTGATTTTCTAGTCAGATTGTACTTGCATTTTGGATTTCATCAAAAACTTTAGACAAAGTGGTTATTGAGATATTGAAAGTAATATGGATTTGGACCTCTGATGAAGTTTAGAGAGTAAAATGCAGAAGGTAACTGTTGATCACAAACTCAATTCTACACCTTACTGAGTTGATGGAGAATTCTAGAGCAGCATGTCTGTCGTACGTCTTTTAACTAGTATTCAATGATCCTAAGATGAAATGGTCCGAGAAGACTTGCTGTCAGATTGTAAGATAGTAATAAGATAATGGAATTTTCCAACTATTGTTGGGTATTGATAATTGCCAAATATGTATACAATTTTTATTCAATTTCGACAATTATTAATATATCTTAGGCTTCAATTTTTTGTTTCTGGCCACAAAACACTTAGTCAAGAGTTAGTTTTATTTTAGGGTTTAATTGTTTAATATTAGATATTTTTAGTAGTTTTTCTTTATTAAGATGGAATACAAAGAGAATACAATTTGGAAGCTACTAGTCTCAAATAGAAACTATTGCTTCAAGACCAGCTGGGCACACACTCAGTGGGACAAATTCGCTTAGAGCGGTCAACAATTTGCTTTGAGCAAGTAAGAGACTATACTTGGGAGATCAAGCTAACTCGCTTACGCAAGTAGAATGCTCACTTTGAGCAAGTGAAATTCGCTCAAAGCGACCAAACCCCAACTTGAAGTGAGCCAAGATAGAGAGCTTCCTCTAAAGATGGTACTATCTTGCTTAAAGTGAGCAAACTTCTCGCTTTGAACAAACCCCAACTTGAAGCGAGCCAAGATAGAGAGCTTCCTCTAAAGATGGTACTATCTTGCTTAAAGTGAGCAAACTTCTCGCTTTGAACAAGCAAAATTCCCTCAAAGCCACCATAGGAACACATGGAGGATCGCACAAGCTGGCTTAGAATGAGCTACATGGGCGCTCTTAGCGAGCTTACACGAAAAAAGCCCATTATAAAATGTTATAAAATAGGGTTGTTAGGAAATCTCTGTATCATACTTTTTTAGCACAATTTTAGAGAGATTAGAGAGAGTTCTTATGAGATCATTTTTGTTATCACAGATCGCTTAAAGATCCCTCTTTTCTTATGTAATCCTCAATCATGAGTGCGTAAGTCTCTACAGTTGGAGATCGCGGTATTTACTGTACCTCTGTAATTTATGTGTTTTCATTTATTAAAAATCTTTATTCAATCAATTGTTTTTATAATTTTTAATTGAGGTTGAAAAATCATTTTTAAAATTACGATCTAGGTAAAATGATGATAACATTTATTGCTAGGAATAAAATAAACCTTACTAGTAGACTTTTGGTCCCAGACCTTAATGTAGGTTATTTAAGAAAAATTACCAAGGAATTAGAATTTTCCTTTAATAACAAAGAATTTCTCGCCTACGGAATTAAAGTTTAAATATAATTACGGGTCGTTAAATTAACGGTATAATTTCAATATTGAATGGAAATTTAAGAGGACTTGCATAGGAAAAGTTAGTGAATTAATCTTTGATTGTTCTCATTATAGACTCAAACTCTTTATAATTTTCTGCATTCTTATATTTTCACAAATTTTTATGTTTTGTGTTGAACAATTCTAAATTTTTATTAATTCATCTGTTTAGTAGTACCAAGTTTTAATTAAAAAATTATAACTCAAGTCTATGTTGGATTCGATAACTTGGACTTTTGGATTTACTACCTACGACAATTAGTATACTTGTTAAATGTGTATAAGTAAATGGTGTCGTTGTTGGGGACTTCCGTCCTATAATTATTTAATTATAATACGATGCTAGATTAAGTTTTAAATTTTATTTTCTGTTTTTCTTAGATTTGTTAAATTTTAAATTCAATCAATTTTATTTTAATTTTTATTAGATTTGACTTGTTTTATTTTGTTTATGCGAGGTGAAACTTGGTAACAGAGTTGGAAAGGACTTGCAGAAGAAACAAAGCTCAGTGAAGGAGATGAATACAAGCAAGCCAAGACACTTTAGCATCAGAGCTAATGGTAGAAGAAGGAGCAAACCGTCCTCCTCCTCCTCCACAACTAGAGAGGAGGAGGATGTCTAACCACGTGACACATCATGGTCCGGCTTGGCTTAACTTGGTAAAGGGAATTAATTTTATGGAGCTAACAACAAAGACCCTCATACACATCTATTTGAGTTCATCATGATTTACAACACTATGCAATATCATGGTGTTCTATATGACGCCATCATACTGGCAATATTCCCCTTCTCAATTTCCGGGAGAGCAAGTTATTAGCTTCAATCTTTCCCACCCAATAACTTCACTATATGGGTTGATCTAGCCAATAAGTTTCTAGAGAAGTACTTTCCACCTGAGAAAGTCATGCAGTGCAAGATGGCTATCAACAACTTTTAGCAAGAGGTAGATGAGTCATTATCATAAGCATGGGACAAATACAAAAATTTGTTAAAGGAGTGCCCAAACCATGAAGTTGATGATATGGACTAGATGTGTACTTTTCTAGATGGGCTTCTATATGACACCAAGCTTATTCTAGATGCCTCAACTGGGGACATTATTAATTATAAGACACCAAAGGAAGCAGTTGTCATCATAGAAAGCATTGCTAGCAGCCATAGTGGATCACAACGACTGCAATTTGCACCTCGGAAGGGAGTGTATGAGTTGGGTTCCAATGATGCTATATTGACCCAAAACAAACTTTTGACTCAGTAGATCGAGATATTAAACAAGAAAATAAAGAAGTTGCCACAACAAATCCAACTACAATCTGAGGCACTTATGTCTACTTCTGCATACTATATTAGTAATTGTTAAAGTTGTGGAGGCACTCATCTGCATGAACAATGTGATGCAGTAGTGGAGGAACCTCGGTAGGAAGTTAAATAATGAGAAATTAAAGAAGATATGTAGGTCATCAAGGCAGAAATTTCAATAGAGGAGGGGGGCAACAACATCAGAATTTTGGATGGAATCAAATTGGTACAGACACTTCCAGTGCATCTCCCCTAGCACCTAAGCCTAACCTGTAGGACTGTCAGACAAGGTTGGAGGATACCCTCAACCAATTCATACAAGTTTCCACCACTAACCAAAAGAATACACATGTTGCAGTTAGAGACTTAGAGGTCAAAATGGAGCAACTCTCTACCCAACTGGAAAAGAGATTTTCTAGTAAGTTTGTTGTTCACACAACCGAACCCAAGCAACGGGAATTGTAGTGCCATAGTGACAAGAAGTGGCAAAGAATGATGAAGGAGTAGAAAAAAAAAGAATGAGAAAGAAAAAATAAAGAAAAAGAAATAGAAGAAATAGTGAGTGAAGGAGAAGGTGAAAGGAAGTTTAAATACCAACTAGTACAAGAGAGAGAAAAGAGTGAAATTCCTAAAACAACAAAAGAGCTACCTTACTCTTCAGTATCTACCAAAAAGGATAAAGAAAGGGAATATGCTCGCTTCATGGATATTTTCAAGAGGCTTTAGATTAACATACCTTTCTCTGACACATATTGGAGCAGATGTCTATGTATGCTAAGTTTATGAAGGAACTATTGACAAAAAAAGGAAGTTTATAGAGGAGGACACTATTAAATTGGAGGCGAGATGCAATGCCATCATTCAAAAGGCTTTACCTCCTAAGTTAAAGGATCCTAGAAGTTTCACTATTCCCATCACCATTGGGAATCTATAAGCTTTGCTTCATTTAGGGGCTAACATCAACCTAATGTCCCTATCCATGCTATCTAGAGTTGGAGAGGTAGAAGTCAAGTCTACACGTATAACCCTCCAACTAGTAGATCGTTCCATCAAATTCCCCCATGGAGTAGTAGAGAACATGCTAGTGAAGCTAGATAAGTTTATCTTTTTGGTTAATTTTGTCATTATGGACATGGAGGAGGATTTGGAGGTACCCATAATTTTGGGGAGACCTTTCATGATGATTGCAAGAGATTATGGAACACCACCAACCTAATCACAACATAATTTTTTGGGAAGCAAACAAGTTTAAAGCAAGGAAATTGTAGATTCATCTTTGAGAAGAACAATCTCCAAAAGGATGGTTTAAGGAAGTTCAAGCCTAGACCTAATTGCCCTTTTAGAGTTTTGAATATAATTGGAAAAAATGAATACAAAATTGAGTTACCAAGCGATTATGGAGCATTGCCAACCTTCAATTTCTCTGACTTGTCTTCCCATGAATTAGAAAAGAAGAGCTGAACTTTTTCAACCAGGGGAACAATGGAGAATTCTAGAGTTGCATTTATAATACATATGCCATGTGCTCTTAGGAAAAAAATTAGTTTCTCATTCCCAACACTAGGAAAGTGTATGGTCAATAAAGAAGTATACAAAAGAGAAAAGATAATTAATTCTTGGAAGATGGCATGCCACTTCTATAAAGAGGTGCCTTCGATAAATATAAGAAAGTTAATTCGAGTTTATTACTAATTCATCTTGCAAATTGAGCTCACTATCTTGACTCCATAAATCGTAGGGTGAATTCCTAACAGTCATTGAGTTGGTTGTTTTCTTGTTCTTCTAATTTTCTCTTTTGTTTCCTATCTGACATCAAACGTGCATTACTTTATAAATCTAATTTATAAGTAATAATATATGCTCTAGAAGAAGATACTTCTATTATGTTACCTAGGAAAAATGTTTAAAAAAAATGTGAGGCAAACATTGAACACTTAATAAAACTCAAGATCACAATTTGATAACTTCCATTTTTACAATTAAACCGATCAATATTTCCTTTCTTTGCCAGAAACTAACACCAAAAATTCTACGAGTGTTTTGACAAAAACAACTACGTATAAAGATAAGATTATATAGTGTTGATTGAAGGTGTCTCTGGTCCATTCTTTAAGTTACGAGGGCTAAAAGAATTAGGATTTTATATAAAATACAATCCCAAGGAAATAGTCAAGCAGTCTATTATTCCAACTAAAAGGCACATAAACGGGTCGGGTGAGGAGGGGGAGACACACAAGAAACCTAGAAATGAATGTTATATGTTTCAGTATGAGTAGAATTGGTGTACCTTATAATTGTATATGGGATGCCAGAATCAGCCAGGTATTGCTCAGCCTTCCTTTTCCAAACCTGCAGTCAATATGAAAACAACATTCTTCCTATCAAGGGGGGAATAATGGAAAGACACAAGGATGTAAAAATGACTAAATAAAATAAAAACAAGGCCAGAATGTTATGTATGGAGGTAGTTCAGAAGTGAAGGAGAAAACATTACTAACCAATATATTCCCATTACCCAAGCTGTTCAAAGGATTGTTAAGGTCTGTTCCACCCATAGACCCTACCAACACAATCTGCTTCACTCCAGCAGCCTTAGCTGTTCATATAGATACAAAAAAAAAAAAAGTTCAATATCACGAGATTGTGCAAGTTTGTATTATAATCTATGATTAATGGAAAGAAGACATGGATCAATTTGATTAATGCAAGTTTGTATTCTCACCAGCATCAATTTGATTTTTCTGCCCAATCCAGTCAACCTAAATGTAAAAATCACTAAAATATTAATCAAAAAGGAGGTAAATGTAAAAAATAACTTGAGCATAACACAGAAACTGTGATAGTACCTGTTCAGGATATGCACCATCTTCGAAATAGAACTCTGGTCTTTGTCCTTTGGTTGGATCAAACCCAGGCTTTATCTGTGGCACTGCACTTGTGAGAATTATAAGAGCATCTATACCTTGAATTGCAGGAACAATACTTTCGGAGTCTCTTATATCCCCAACAAAAACGTCATCTGCAGCACCAATGTTCTGTTTGCTTTCTTCTGTTCTAACTAGACCTCTAGCCACATATTGGTTAGGTCTCTCTTTTAATTTTTTGTAAACTATTTGTCCTGAAAAGTGAACCAATTCTCAGTTTGTGATAAAAAAAAAACTTAGTATATATATTATTTCAGCTACCGACAACAAATGCATAGTCATGTTTTGAGTATTGATTTATCAGAAAGATGAATGTATAACATTTTGCATGATCAAGTCATCTTTGGTTTTTGCCTAAGTAACGTATATCATATAAGTGACTGAAAGTAGCAGGCCCAAATATATGGCCGTATCCGTATGGTCCAATCTGAACCAAAAATCTTGTCCACTTGAAACTAATATAACTGAATATCTTATACAATGAAATATACACCATCCTTAAGCCAATTGAGTGGTGCATCAAAATCAAATCCAAATACTGTAACCCTCTCCTATCAAACAAAAACTTACCCGTGCAATTACTATTTTAAAAACCGAACTTTTGCATAGTGACATACATTTCCATCAGCAAGCCGAAGGCAGAGTACCATTAGTTTGCGTAAATTTACTACTTACTAGTGATATTACTATATAAATATTTTCCACATTATATCCTAATTGAATTTTAATTTTATAGGGTTAATTGAGCTTTTAGTTTCTGACTTTTAAAACCATAAATTTGCCTCCCGTATTTTTGAAATATCTAAACTTAGTCCCGAAAACAGTAAGTTTTTCGTCCCTTCAGTATTACTAAAATTTGAGTATTTCAAAAATACAAGAACGAAAACTAGTAGCTCTAAAAGGCAGGGACTAATACCAAAAAAGACCCATTTTTTAAGGACAAAAACATCATCAACCCTTTAATAAAATACAGCAACAACAGTTAGGGGTGTTAAAAAATCGAAATATAGGGGAGATTGAACTATTTTCATAAAAATAAAAATAAAAAACTGAACTGAACTATTTTTATAAAAAAAATCCAAACTGGACTAGTTGAGAACCAAACTGACTAGGTTGAACTATAAAAACTGAACTATTCTTATAAAGGGATAAAAAAAAATCATTTCTTTCTCTTATATTTATCATAACAAAAAAAAAAAAATAGTTCAGTTAACTTAAATCGATTCAATTAAAATCAATTCGCTGAACTAATAAAACAGTTTAGTTCAATTAGTCTGAATCTGAGCTATTTTTCAGTTCAGTTAGTTCGGAGGAATTGTTTTCCATTCCAGTTCAACTCTCATATAGTTCAATACTTCAATTCAACACTTTTGAACACCCTAACAACAGTCAAACCATATCATGTGTATCCTCATCCCAAGCTCAACGTTAAGAACGGGGTGTCAAAAAAAAAAAAAAAATACATATTCCATTCAGAAGCATTAACCCTGACTCAAAAATATCAAATTCACCTAAAGCAACAAACCCACATTCCAGTCCAAATTCTCTCTCCAAAGCAACAAAAAAAAATTGAAGAAAACCCATCAAAGCATAAAACAAACCACCAAACTCCACATCCTTCACTTTACAGAAAAACCCAAAAACAAAAACACGAAAAAGCAACAGCAGAAACATCATTTTCTGGTCCAAAAAGCAATAAATTTTATATTTTGAAGAGAACCCATGAAAACAAACGACAAAAAGACCTCACCTGTGCGACCACCCGCTCCAGTAACAAGCACAGTGCTCTTCCCAGACTCAGCCATGGCCACAACACTGATTCTCCTTCCCACCCTCTTCACACCCTCTTTGTTAAGAGACAACGAAAAAGAATGAGAAAAAGAGAGAGAGGGAAGCCTTAATGACGAGGAGGAAGAAACCGGTAGAGGAAGTGACGGTGGCACCATGCAGTATTTATGACAGTGGTTGGGGGTAGTGGCAGCACAGATAAAGGGGACACGTGTCGCCATACCCATCAAAGTAGTTCGCACAGTTGCATTGTGCAGTGGGTGAGAAGAGAAGAAGAATGTGGAAAAGTCTTCAACTTAACAAAGGATTCAGCAACGTTATTAAACACGCCGTCACGGTCACTGCTGAGACCAGACACTGTGTTGAGGTGGTGGTTGTGTCGTGCTTCACTTGTTGCTGCGCTTAAATACGGGTTTGATGCTTTTACGTTTTGTTTTGTCAGATTTTAGATTTTCTTATCCATTTACCTTATCTTGTACCATGACGTCACCATGTATTCAATTTAGTTTTATTTTGCTTTAATTACTACGGTTCATAGTTATACAAAATTTACCTTTTCATTCCTACTCTTAAAAATCTTACTTTTTTTTACCTCTTGTCTGGCTGCAAAGAAATAATAAGTACTAAAATAATAACAGATGTTTGATATGGTAGAAATAAAAAAGTAAAAGAAAATAAAAAGTGGTGGTTAGAAATTATTATAATTTTTAAATAATATTTTTATTTATTTTCACATATCAATTTTTTTCTTTTCTATTTTTATCTACTTTATTTCTTTTGTCTCAACAAAATACATCATTAGTGTGAATAATATAGTTGGTCTCAACACTATTATTGGAAACACTATTGGAAGAAGTAACACCCCATGTATAATTGTTTGTTATAGGAGTGTAAATGAGTTTTGTTAAATTGAGTTTAGACTATTTTAGCACTTAAACCAATTAAATTTAGTTAGATTGAGTTAAGTTGGCTTTGTGGACTTGTTTATAAGCAATCCAACTAGAATCGAGTTGGGTTAAGTAGGGTTATTAGGTTGATAAATTAAAAAATAAGTATATTTAAAAAAAAATGAAACAAATAACAAAAAAAAATAGATACTTAATTTAAATTTTAATATATGATTCAAAGTACAAACAATATTACAACAATCATACATTAGAAATCACAAATATCCCAACCAGGCAAACATTATATCACTAACTAACAAAATTTGAATTACGTAGCAAGTAAAATTATTCTTCTCACTCTATGTCTTCTTCAATTTAGCCATTCAATTCATTATTACAATATTTGATGAAAAAAAAAAAGTAGAATTAAATATAGGCAGAGGAATGTATTATGTGTTGTGTATAAGTTCAATTAAATAAATTATTAAAGGTTGAGTTGGTTCAGGTTTATCGGATAGCAAATTCCTTGATATGTTACCCAACCTAATTATAATCGGGTTACATAAAAATTACCCAACACAATGATCCAACAAAACCTGCAAAAATGTAATTAGGTTGATTTAGGTAGGTAAGTTCATGAGTGAATCATTACCCGCTTACACCGCTAGTCAACTATATTATGATCCATACACCTAATGGCCTACTTGGTTGTGACAACGACTAATAACTATGACATGATGTATGCAGTTAAAAAGTCAATGAAAGTTATAATTGCCTTGAAAGATAACCTAAGTGTGATAACTTTTACTAACCCAATTTGAAAAATAGACATTTTCATTATGCCTCAAGGCAACTTTAATGAAAGGATGACACTTGGCAAGTGCCTAAAAAAGCGTGTAGTGTGTAGTTTTTCTTACGATGGAGTTATGAACTAATATAAATATGAGAATTGACAATCTAAACATTGCCCACAACCAAAATCAATGAAATTATTTTATTTTTCATCCATTTACATGTTCCTTTTATCATTTTTTTACTACTTACCTTTTTGAACCTTTCATTTATAGTTTTATCATCCACTTTTATTTGTTTATTGCTTTCAACCTTTACATTTAGTTTTTGAAGCTAACCTTTGACTAGTTCTTGAGTTATAATGCTAAGAAGCTCTTTGGAGTAAAATAAGGACAAAATATTTTCCTTAAGTCAATTGCCTAAAGTGGGGATCATTGTGGTAAATTACTAGCCAAAATAATGGCTAATGAATTTTTACACCAACATAATTTTGGCATGCCCAGTAGGACATCAATTATCTCTTAACTGAGGTTTTTGACCTTATCATTAGACCATCCTTAGCATATGCAATTGAGATTTGGACCAAAAACACGTCCTATTATGGAGAACATACCCACCAAGAAAAATGGCAAACATATATGCTAACGCAATTGTAACTATAATATTGTGTTGTGGATAGTTATTTATTTTAAATTTTAATATTTAATTGATTTGTGTTGATGTGATATTTGATATTTTATAACTCTCTAAGGATTATGGAATTCGTAAGAGTTTAGTTGTTTGGAGTTGTTGTGTGTTGAGATCAAAGTAAACCAAGTTTGGGGGAATGTATATAAGGTTCTCTAAAGACTTGAATTTCATAAATTCATTTCTTAGAGTTTTTAGAGAAATTTTTTATAGAGATAGATTTTGGAGTTAAAAGGGATCTTTCTTTCTTCTAACCTTTTAGAAGTGCTTTGATTCTTCTTTGTATGGTTGAGTAAAGATTCAAAGTTGAGAAGCTAAGAATCAAATGGAGAAGTCATCATACGAGAGTTTGGGGTTCTTCTAGTTTTCTTCTTCCTTTCCTTGTTTCTTGCTGATTTAAGGTAAGGAAAACTTGTGGATTAATCCTTGTTATGTTGTATGTGTTGATCATTGTGTTAATTTTCCCATTGGTGGCTTTGGTGTTGGATTGAAAAGTGAAAAACCTTGTTCTTTAGGTTTTTGGTTGTTTTGGAGGAAAATTAATGATCCTAGATCATGATATTATTGCATGTTGTTTATCTTGGTGATTCTAAGTTGTTTGAGATATATATATATATATATATATATATATATATATATATATATTCTAATTTGTGGATTTCTTATTGAGTTGGTATGACTTGATGATGTAGAAATTGAAGAGAGAAGTTGAGTTGCTGTGGGTGAAAACCCTATTCTCACCAATTGAGAGTTTAGGGTGCTCAGTGCTCCTATATGAACATCTGCCCAAATTTTCATTCTAGTTTGGTGGCAGATGTGCCACTTAGTATGAGAACAATTTTATGGCTAATCTCGCTCAGTAAGATAGGTCATGCCTGGTGAGAGGACCTCTAAAGGATCTTGGTCTCTTAACGAGATTTTGACAGTCAACAATAAGCTCCGGGGGAGTTTAGTCTCTCAACGACAAGATCCAAAAGAGCTTAGCCGTTCAACGAGCCAATAACCCACCTAGCAAGGAAAGTGGTAGAACATTTCCCTTGCTTAGTGATGGTAGTGTCACTTAGAGAAGAGATCCAGATAGCTCAACTCGCTTAGGGGGATACTTCCGCTTAACAAGAGTCTTTTTTTGTGACCTTTCTAGCTTAATACTTTATATGATATTTATTGAGAAGATAAGATGAAATACTATTAAAATATGTTGTAATATGTTGTTATGATTAATGAATCATGTTGTAGGAAGTTGAACTAGAGATGATTCTAGTGTTGTATTGGGTTGTGTTGTATAACTATGTTGTTAAGTTGTGTTGTATAGTTATGTTGTTAAGATGTGTTGCATAGCCATATTTTTTAGTTGTATTTTATAGCTATGTTGTTAAGTTGTGTTATATAGTCATGTTATTAAGATGTGTTGTGAACTTAATATTAGAGGAGAATTGTTATTTTTTAAATCTAAGATATCCCATTGCGTGGATATGTATTGTAGTGCTCTAAGAGCCCAAATGTTGAAAAATCCTTCTTGAGAGAGCTAGTTCTTGAAGTGGAGTGTTGTGTTTCCATTAAATTATTAGTTGATACTGTATGGGGGCAAGGTTGAGCCATATTGGTCTAGAAGCAACCAAATTGAGTAAGGTTTGAAGTCAAAAGGTAACAATTTTAATTGTTTGCTAGAAGGGTGTGTGGTATTGTGATATAGTTAACGGGCTGTACTCATAAGTGACTTGTTTAATACATGTCAATATTATGACAAACTCATACCTAAGCTATACTATATCTGACGATTGGCATGAACTTTCCTAGTGTAAATGGTAAAATTCGAGAAATCATGTTGCGTTGAAAATGTATTTATATCCAAACTTTGTTGTTGACCTAGCAAACCAAAAAGGTAGTGTTGTGCTGATTTGGTAGGGTTAAGTCACTTAAACTACTCATTTGTGTTGTAAAAGATATTTTAGTTGAAATGGATGATGATGTATAAAAGTAATATGTTGTTAAGATGTTGGGTTGATAAGTTGTTGTGTTGTAAAGTTAATGTATTGTTAAATTGATATGTTATATGTTGATAAGTTGTTGTATTGTAAAGTTGTTGCATTGAAAAGTTGTTATGTTATAAGTTATTGAATTGGAAAGTTGTTGCATTGTTAAGTTATCATACTATATGTTGATAAGTTGTATAATGAATTATTGTGTTGTCTAGTAGAAATATCATTGAAGGTTGTATGCATTTTTAAATGTTGAGTTGAAAGTCATGTAACAAAGTTGCTAAGTGGTGAAGTTATGTTCATGTTGTGAAGTTGTTTATATAGTTAATTTTTTTGCTTCTATATTATTATATATTACGTTTGTTTTTCCATGTTGTTAAACTATGATAATCATATTATTATGGGAGCAGAGTAGAATTAGGTTAAAGGGCGAGCAAGATCTTGTGTCATTTTGGTGATGGTGATGTTTGGTGTAGGCTATTGTGGAATAACAAGTTGTTGCTTGACCGACAACTTAAGATTTTATGTTTTGTAAATATTGATATTGTATATATATATATATATATATATATATATGTATATAGGATTATGTTGTAATCTCATTGATGGATCTTAATATTTTCAATTGTTTATTTCTATTCATATACATTGCTGCATGAATATCTAGGTATTGCTTGTATGATAATAATAGGTTAGATTATATTTACATTTTTTGTTGTAGAGTCGCTGAGCTATACTAAGTAGGGGTGTTTGCAATTCAGTTCGATTTTTAACTAAAAAGTCATCTGAATCAAATAACAAAAATACGTGGGATTTGATTCAATTCAATTTTTGTTTTTTTTTAATATCCAAACTGAACCAAACCAATAGTTTACGGTTTGATTTTTGCGATTTTTTCACATTTTTTTTTGTATACAATCATAATTACATAACACTACACAAGGTCACAAACCATCAAATAATACTACATTGTATCAAATGTCATATAATCATTATAATATTATACATTCTAAATAATATTATCCATGTACATAACTGAACACCTCTAGTGT